TGGTGTCATCCTTGCGCAGTGGCCATGCTAATCTTCTCTGTATCGTGCCAATTTTAACGGATGTCTTGAAGGACACACACAGCTGATTTCTGAGTTTTGCTCATGGAATGTATGCCTTGCTGAGTTCCCCGCTTGTGACTGAGTTTTCTAAGTCTGTGTGGGTGCTTGCTGGCCGGCATGCCTGTCTGAGTGCTTGTCGGCTTGAGTGTGTGTGTGACCCGCAAGAGCATTTGTTCAGAAGGCCCGAAGGGCTGGTACGTAACTGTGGCCGCGACATTAGGGGTTGCAGCGGGGAAAACACTCAAGTGGTGGGGAAAGGGGCCTGCGACACTAAGAGCAGCTAAAAACACTCAAGTAGCAGGTAGGCCGGTACCACACCAAGTAGAGGTAGATGTGACAGGCGATCGAGGTTGAGCAGAACAAGACAAAAGTTGGCATTTCTAGAGGCCCAGACATTGTAGGCTAGGTCTAGGCGGGTACCAGTCCAACCAACCTGAGTCTAGGGCCTGTACGGGCAATATCAGAGTCTGCAATGATGTTTCCCTCCGAAAGGGAGAAGGTACCGGTTGCTTGGAGGTCGCACGGCGTAGCTAGTCACTCGTCAAGAGGCAAGCAGGCCGCTATATCTCCAGGAGGAGCAAAGAGCTCCTCCTCATTGTCGGTGTGCAAGTTTGGCGACACACTGGTTGGAGCACTGGCTGGAGCAGCGCTAGCACTCAGCGCAGCCCTGCTGGGGAAGGAGCGAGGACCGAGAGAGGAGGACGAGGACGAGGAAGAAGGAGAGCGCCAGAGGTACTTACCTGGCTATGGTGGTTGCCATCTTCATCACCTTGGTGGGCGCTGCAGCAGGAAGGCCTCAGTTGGGGTAGAGCTACACCAAGAAGCTTCGAGGCAAAGTCAGGCATGGCGGCCTGAGCTAGAGCAGCCATAGCTGCTTTGTGTTGTCCTTTGCACAGCGGGGCTATGCCCTGATAGTCCACCATAGCCTCGGCCTTGGAGGAAGGAGGACGAAGGGTGGCCATGGCTATGGTGGACCTCATGTGATACCTGCAGTAGAAGAGGGATTTGGACATTGATTCTTGTTCAGCCATTCGACATTATTATTATTATTTCTTGTTTGAATAAGAGGGGAGGAGATAAGGAGGAGGATAGTGTTGTTGAAGAAGGGAATTCTCATTGGTACTTGCTGGTGTACATCTTCTTCTTCTTCTTCTTTCCCTCTCTCTCCTCTCAAGTTTATTCATTTCCGTTTGCAATTGGACGGCATTGTACTTTCTCATGAATATGTACTTCGAAATTGGCAGAGGGGGTGTTACATGCCCAGTTGGGCAATGTATGTAAAGCCAAGGGTCCACAATGTGATGAAAAGGACTGAATGGATAATGCAGTGCTAGTGGAATCTCAACAAGCAGTGTACATCCTGATACAGACAGAAATGGCATATAGTAGCGCAGGGGAAGACTTAGATATAAGCCCTGACCTGACCGGGACTGACCTCTCTCACGTAGTACAAGACAGCGCAGCAGAATGCTAGAATACCAATGACTAGCCCAATCAATGTCACAGAGGTGTGAAGGGGCCTGGCGCTACACACAGGAAAAATGCGCCAGGTCCAGACCGTACACAGATGAAGAGGAGGGGATCAGACGAAGAAGAAGGGGGAAGATGGGAATGTCCACCAAGTCTTCGGTACAAGTCCCAGATAATCCCTCGTCAAATGTCTGAAGCCCAATGTCGAGTCTGGAGCCATATGTAATTAAGCCCGCTGTCTCGCAGTCTGCTGATGCAGTGAAGTCAGGTAGCGAGAGGGTGAGAGGGAGATGGTGAACTCTGAGGAGGAGGAATAAGAACTCTCTGTCTTTCATGTGCCAGGTACTAACCTGTGGAGATGGCGCTGTGCTGCAGGTACCTCGAAGGCGAAGCTGGAGCTATGACGCTGCGCGTAAGTCTCCCTGGCCTCCGCCCAATCTCTCTCTCTCCAGTACTACTCTAGCTCCTACTAGCGCCCAGCGCTGAAGACTACTGCTAACGCTACTACTACTACTGCAGCGCTCCCCTAGAGTGCTGCTGCCGAATCCTGAAGACTACCTCCTGCCTCCTGAACTGTAAGTGAAGTGCCTGGGAAGTCCCTATGAACTAACTGCAGCCTGCAGGGCGGGCCAGTCTTATATAGTGCTGGCCCGTCCAGGAGGCTGCTCTTGCCAATGCCAAAACGTGACAGACCCTGGCGTTGAAGCTCAAACAAAGGTTGTCTTGAAAACAGGCCAAAAATGGCCTGTGCTAAAACCCTGGTCTGGTGCCCGAGTTTCAGGGCAGGTCGATATTATGAGGGCCTGAAAATGGCCCTCCGTTTCAGGCTGAAAAGACTCAGGGCCCAGAGGGCCCTGTTTTAGGCTTAAACAACACAGGGCCTGGAGGCCCTTGTTTTTAGGCTTTCAGGCTGAAACGACACAGGGCCTGAAGGCCCTTGAAGAAATAGGCCCTTGTTTTCAGTCTTTCAGGCTGAACGACACTGGGCCTGAAAATGGCCCTTGTTGTAGGCGCAGCATGTAACAGGGGGGGTCGCCCGACAAAACCAGACCGGTCAAAAAAGAGGCAAGGATCCCCCCCCCCGAAAAAGACTTCAGGCGAGGACTGAGCTTGGTTAGCAGTCAGAATCCAGTCTTAACTTCGGTTTTGGTGATGGGTCATCCAGTGGGGGTTGGGTGGTATAAACAGTGACTAAAGGGCTTAAAAGTTAAAAGTGTACATTTGGACTCGTGTTTTCTCATTTATTTTATCTTGAAATTAAACCACCAGTACCTGGCCCAGCTACCGAGTCCGAGCCTCGGCCGACCGGTACGCCGACCCGTGCCGAGGCTCGAACTACCGGGCGCAGGCATCCCGAACGTCGGAGTGAAACGAACGAAAAAAACTGAAAAAAAAACGAAAAAAAAAACGAAAAAAACTATGGCAGTGTATATTCCCACGCTATAGCGCCAGATTCATTCGATTCTGTTCATCCTATGGAGGGTGCAGTACCATGAGGCCAGCCGCGACGAGAGAGAGAGAGAGAGAGGGAGAGAGAGAGAGAGAGAGGGGGCGACCTGCACGGAGGGTCGCGGCGAACTCGCCGCCCCTCTCTCTCTCTCTCTCTCACACACACACACACACACACGCACACGCACACACAAAAACAAGTAGGGCAGTGTATATTCCCACACTATAGTGCCAGATTCATTCGATTTTGCTCATCCTAGCGAGGGCGCAGTACCATGAGGCCAGCCGCGAAGAGAGAGAGAGAGAGAGAGAGAGAGAGAGAGAGAGAGAGAGGTGGCGACCTCGCCACCCCTCTCTCTCTCTCTCTCTCTCTCACACACACACACACACACACACTCACACAAAAACAAGTAAGGCAGTGTATATTCCCACACTATACGGCCAGATTCATTCGATTTTGCTCATCCTATCGAGTGCGCAGTACCATGAGGCCAGCCACGACGAGAGAGAGAGAGAGAGAGAGAGAGTGGCGGCGACCTGCACGGACTCGAGGGTCGTGGCGAACTCGTCGCCGCTCTCTCTCTCTCTCGCGCGCGCGCGCGACTTTAACTTTTTGTCCGTTTTTTTTTTTTTTGGTTTGTGTATTTGTTTTTTTTTTCCCCTTCTTTCCTTTTTTTTTGTTTTCTCAAGTGTGTCGTTCCTAGGGAAGCGGAGCCCGGCCTTCGCGCAGCGACTGGGCCTTCCCTTGGCCGACCCCTTTAGGGCTGCGGCGCGTGTATGGGAGTGCCCGCGGCCGATAGCTGAGCGAGGTATTGGTGGTTTAACAAGTTATATCGAGGTGGCAGTCAGCCAAAAATCGTTTGTATTGCAATTTTACACAACATATCATTTTTTTGGATTTTTTTTGGATTTTTTCAATTTCTATTTTTTAAAATATTATGCGCTGGGATCGCCAGGGACCCTGCCTGGGCCCTGCCCGGTCCGGGCCGTGCGGGACGGTACCAGGGAGACCTTTCCCCAGCCGGGCCGCCCAGGGACTAACACAGGACGTTCATATCAGTGTTTTTTTTTCTTTTTTTTCCCCAAAGGAAGAAACAGGACCTGATGGGCCTGGGTCCATAATAGTCCATATTCAGGACCAACTCCAACGCTTTCTTCCGCTAAGCCTGAAGGACCCCTGAAAATCATTGATTACTCCTTAGGAGGATTGACTGTCAGCTTGCCTGTCCCGTCTTAGATTCCTGTCAGTCTCAGTTTTGCGAAGACTCTGAATTACTTGAAATCCAAGAACCTCTGAAGATTGCGAATGTGCCTCCATGACTGGTATGTCTGCCTTTCTAAGGTAGTTTTCCACCTCTTCAATCTCAGGTTATCTTTGTTTCTCATGGCGGATTTCCCTTCTCCTTCATGGAAGAAGAGGAGTCGTCGTAGGAGAAGAAAAGAACGTACCTGTTATGGTCATGCAACAACACAATTGAGTTGGAGGATGGCGGGGGGGGGGCACGGGGAGGAGGAAGAGACGGAGAACTTGAAACACCAAAGTGACGTTAACAGGCTTTGATGTCACCTGATGGAAGACGAACTTGTCCATGGATGAGATGTCAGGATGATGCCTACATAAGTCTTGATTGGTATGGGAGGGTTTCATTGCCATGAAGCGGCAGGCGGCTGAAATACGAGGTTACAAAATGAAGAGAAGAGAGAGAGAGAAACGGGGTGCTGAGGATGCCTGGGACCCCAGCCAGGCAATGGGTGGGGGTACCGGTTCGCGTGGAAATATTACCCAGCATTTTGGTTCTTTGTTTGACTAATACAGATACTTCAGCTTCTCTGGATTTCTAATGTTTTCTATGTTATCAATGGGATATGTTACTTGTAGGTTTGTGAAAGCAGTGGAAGTCCAATCCTGTTGTTCTTGTTTCTGCCTTAGTGTCTGTCAATTAACTCTGTTCCTCTTTCTTGTTTTGTTTCGGTTTCATGCCTCCTTTGTGTTTGCGTATTTGTGTGGTTGGACTTGTCAGATGCGTTTCTTCCTCTCGTGGGCTCTGCTGCTAGGCTTCATGAGTAGGCTACGGATGCCCTCTTCAATTTTGCAACACCTATCTCAATACCTTGTTGATTCGCACTCAACCTCATTGCTCCTTGATGCGATATTTCAACATATCCCTATTTCTGCAGCTGGGCTTTTGCCACCGTCTGGTCGGGCAGCTGGTGGACGGTCGTCGCATGTAGGACCATCACCAACAACAGCTTCGGCATCCTCTTCGGCATGTTCCTCAACTTCTAGAGAGAAGGCCGATGGAACGGTGATGTATGCAGCAAGATTCATCGCAACTGAGCTATTCCCCGTGACGAGAGACGCGATGCGGAAATTTGCTTGCGCAATATATGAGGATGTACTTAGGGTACTTCCTGTTTGTGCTCGGTTGTGGTTCATGGGACTTCGTGATAAGGGTGCGGCAACGGCGGTTGAGTTCTACACGATGACCAACTGCAGTCCACGGATACTCTCTGCAGAATTCTCGCAGGTTGGTCTGCTATCTCTGGCTTTCTTACCTACCTGCTATCTCCTGCGACCTGCATGGACTTGCCGAGTAAGTACACCATGACACGGCTGCGTGTGGCCGCCTCCACCTGTACAGTTTTTTTTAATACGCTGGAGGTCTCTTGCTACTGTAAACAGACAACTTCCATCATTTTCTTACCTTGCTATGTTGCTGTCATGTTGTGTAGCCAGGCAAAATGCTAGGTTACTGGTACTACTTGGTACGAGTCAGTAGTATAATCAGGTTATTGATGGCTCGGAACAAGTACGGTGATTGTGTCGAGTCCCACAACAAATGCCACATTGTCTTTCGAACACCTTCAGCAAAAGCATCACCATGTTCCCATACACATGCAAAGATGACAGAACTGATATGGAGAGAGTCACAACAAACCAAAGAGATATATGCATAAAGGAACCATCAAACCAAGAAGAGTTGAACACAAACAATCCAAAGTCTCACACAACTCTCCAACCAGAATCACATAGCAGCCAAGAACAACTGAGCATGAACTGCCAGCAGTTCAACAAGCCTATAGACCCTCCACCATCACCACAGCATCATCCCAGTCATTGCCAGCCTGTATGGCTAAGGCGCCCATTCAGAATTCCGTGCGCCCAGACCAGCAGCCCTGCATACCATCAGCGCCACCTCAGAATCACTCAAAAAACTCAGCGCCAATCCTAGGACCAAGAGGAAGCTCCCGCTTGAAGAAGAAGAAGACCTGCTGCCCTTGAAGAAGGAGATATGACAGTTCCCAAATAGCACAGATATGGTTGACGCCGTCCACAGCAGTGAAGTGGAGGCTTCACTGGCCCTCACTAAACCCTTGGGCTGGTCCCAGAACCCCAGCCTGCACTCCAAAACACAGCAGCGGCTTCCCGGCAGCGTCAACAGAATGACTAACCAAAAGACCTCTGAAGCATTGTCCCCACCTAGAAATAGTTCTATCGGACTGGATGCACCTAGTACCTAAGATGCTAACAGTTATGGGTTTGTGTTTTACCAGTAACAACAGTACCAACAACCGTGCAGCAATCAGTTTAGGCATAAAATGCATTTAGGCTGAGTAGGTACTAGGTACCCGTTTTGCCAGCAGTTTAGGAAATTTGCAGAAGAGTCTCTGTCAGTTCAGGCTCAGGTTCAGTTACCAGTTAGGACCCAGAACTTTGTGTATGGAAATTTCGAAAATTTTCTGGTCTCGAATGCACGCAGAAAGCAAAAACAAAAAAAACAAAAACGAAAAGAGTGTGCAAGAGTAGACGTGGTGAAGCATAACAATTTCAACCAGTCACATAGCATAAGGTTGATTGCACTGTTTTCAGTGGGTTGGGATTCATTTGTGGATGCCCATCTGTCAGGTACACATGACTCTTGTTCTAATTTTCTTTAGCACGACTTACCCCGAAGCGTATCTAGAATGTGAGGACAACTCGAGGGAAAGTTGACACCCTCTTCCTTGACCGAGCCTACTTCGACACCACCCCAGGCTTTCCCCCAGAATTCTATCAAGTGAAACACCGGCTTTTGAGAAAGTGCGGAGAGAGAGAGAGAGAGAGAGAGAGAGAGAGAGAGAGAGAACTCTTTCTGCCTCAGTGTGTCTGGGATATCACTGTGCTAAACATACTGTTTGTGTCGGTGCATATTCGGGACACTGTGTGCGTCTGGCACATGCCATCAACACTGGTTACGAGGTGCTATTCCTGATCACCCATTTGTTATTTCTTCCATCTGGTGTGGCATGGGGTTGCACACACTTTTCTTTTGAGGTCATCATGATGAATATGACATCCACAGAACTTTAAACAGAAAGGAAAATAGGTGTCAACTGTGCAGAGCAAGACCTTGTCTGACGATTTTCTCTCTCTGTTTCTTTTTCTCCCGATCATCCTGTATTTCCGAACACACTTCCTGCAGGTTCAATCTGCTGCTACAAGTATGGATAACTTGTGGATCAAGGTCAACCGATCATCACGTGAAGTCAGTGCCACTTATACCAAGGATGAGGCTGTCCTAGAGCTTGTGATTCGACTTCCTGCAGCATATCCTCTGCGTGCAATAGAGGTATGTTTTATCTTTCTTCTTGCCCTCTGTGCCGCCCCCTTCATAAGTCTAGGCCATAAACGGGGATAAATGAGCTTCGATAAAGAAGACCTGAATGCAGATTGCTCTCTATGCTTCAGGACCAGCTCTTTGGCGCTGGTTGTCAAAGGGCTACATAAATCTCTCTCTGCTTTCTGATCTCGTGCTGTGCTTTATCCCCTGAATTTTGGCGCTCTATTCTCCCCACCTTCATGCCTCCCCCTGCCCTTCCTCTCGTCCTCTCTCTCTCTCTCTCTCTCTCTCTCTC